ATATTTACACAAACACACGCACACACAGACAAATATATATATATATATATATATATATATATATATATATATATATATATATATATATATATATATATATATATATATATATATAAGGTAATTCAATGACAAAGTGAAAAGATTCTGTTATTCAATTGCCTAACATTGTACTGATACAGTGTCACTTAACCTTTTAATGGCAGACCTCGGAACAAATGCTAATCTCACGGCACTTTTAAATGTTATTAAATCAAACCAGAAATTTCTTAATCAAACAAAGAATGTTGCATATAATTGCATGAAGAAAAAAGGTTAATATTCGTTTATTCAAATAAAGGACAATTTTAAATACTTTTTCAAGAGCGAATATTAAAACAAGGAATTTTAAATATAATCGAAAAATAGCGAAAAGAATTAATTGAAAAGAAAGTTTAATACTTATTCATTTATTCAAATACTAATGCTGCACCATTCCTACTAAAATGATGTAAAAAACTATAATTTATGCACTGTTCATAGGTGTAATCTTGATTTTTTTTCTTCATTTATTGTGTGCGTATGTGCGGTGTGTGTGCGCATGCGCGTTGGCGCGTGCATTCACCTACCCGCGCGCATGCGTGTTTGTGCGTACACGCTGAATAACGTGGTTATTTCTCCTTTCAGTCGTTTCTTTTGTCGCTTTCTACGCTCTCTCCTTACTGGTTTTTATAGATTTCTATAGCTTTCAAACTTGTGTGTCATACAAACATAAATTATATATTATATATATATATATATATATATATATATATATATATATATATATATATATATATATATATATATATATATGTGTGTGTGTGTGTGTGTGTATTTATCCTTCTTTCTCACTGTCACACTCTCTCAGGTTCTTTCCAACGCTGTTTCTATTTTTTCCTTTCTTTCCTTTCTCCCCATCTCCTCCCCACAGGCTGTTTTTTTTTTTTTATTTATCTTTCCTTTGCTTTCTCTCTCTTTTTTCTCTCACACTCTATGTCTCTCACATTCTTTCAGGCTGTTTCTATTTATCCTTTATTTCCTCCCCCATCTCCTCTCTCTCTCTCTCTCTCTCTCTCTCTCTCTCTATCCTTTCATTCCTTTCTTTCCTTTCTTTCCTCTCTATCTCTCTCTCATTCACAGACTATTTATCCTTCTTTTCCTACTTTCTTTCTCTCTCTCTCTCTCTCTCTCTCTCATTCTTTCATGCTGTTTCTATGTATCCTTTCTTTCCTCCAATGTCCCCTTCTCTCTCATTCTCTCAGGTTATTTCTATTTATCCTTCTCTCCCTCTCTCTTTCTCTCTCTCTATCTAAATATATACCTATATTTCTATCTAATAGGTTACAACAAAATTTCGTAGCTTTTTTCAAAAGATGGTGATTAGAATGGGATTTCGCTTCACTGAAACATGGAGAAAGTTTAAATGCCTTTTCTTCATTTTATGCTCTTCCATTTCCGCAAAGGAAACAAAAAACTCTGTGCAAACAACAATAAAAAACGTAAGTGTCGTTTATTGAGATGGTGCCGTAGCAGAAAGTAGTTCGGTAGGCTCAGGGATATAAATTTGAATTTGGAAACCGAGAACGTTCCAGCAGGTATGCAGTCGTTGATTATAACGAAAACGAAACGCTGGTTAAGAATAGTCCATATACTGGACATCGCAGAGATCCGGCATTGGACATTGCAGATTCGCCATTGGACATGGCAGAGACCAGACATTGGACATTGCAGAGATCCGGCATCAGACATCGCAGATCCGGCATTGAACATTGCAGAGATCTGGCATTGGACATTGCAGAGATCCGGCATTGGACATTGCAGAGATCCGGCATTGGACATTGCAGAGATACTTCACATATCTCATGAGAGCGTTGTATAATACTTGGATACGTGAATGGCTCCGATGTTTGGATGTATCACGATTTAACTGGAAAACATAAAACGCAACAAAAAACGACTCATATTTGAAGAGAAAAATTACAGGAGATGAAAAATGGATTGTTTAGCACGAGCTAAAAAAAAGAAGAAATTTTTGGAGAAAAAAAAATCATACGCTGAATTCAGAAAATTCCTGTGCGCAATTGGACCGATTAAAAGCAGAAATCAATGAAAAACCTCCGTTATTGGTCAATCGGAAATGTGTTATTTTCGACCTCATGTTTCTTTGTTGACCCGACAGAAATTAGTACAGCTTACCTGGCATGTCATCTGATCTTGCAGCTTCGGATATTACCTTCGGATTACCACTTCTAAGTAGGGAAGTACATCATTCATACAAAAAGTAAATTAGTAAAGCTAATAAGATAAAATAACGAATTCACTTCGCTAACTAAATTTAATAAACGCATTAACCCACTATCCAGCAGTATATTTTTGGAAAAAATATTAGCAGCAATAAAAATCTTGTCGGAATTAAATAACCTGAGGTTGATATGCCTTAAAAAAACAAACAAACCAATATATACTGAGATAGATAGATAGA